ACACTGAGTTTAAATTTAAATTCAGCGTTAAGCCATGTACTTACTATGTAAGATTGCACTAGGCTTTGGGATTATATGGTGAATAAAAAGCACTCCTTCTCTCAAGATGCTCTCATCTGGTAGGGAGATAAGTCCAGTAGGAAGGGAACCAATACCCAGAATGTAAGGCAAACAACACCAATAATGATGAGTGGTTTTAGCTGAGCACCTGCTACCTACAAGCGCCTTATGTACATAATCTTATTTCTAAGTTCCAAACAAGAGAGGAAAAAGCTGTAGACTTGCAGAGAGGAAATATACTTCACTTCCTTCTCAGATTTGCTTTGCTCACCTGCATAAATAGTCACTTCCTCTGGGAGTGGATGGCTGTTTGCAGATGTGAGAGGGAAGGGCTCCTTTGATCTCTTTCATAGAAGCTTGTGATGTAAACATTGGGAGTTGAGGCAATATGTGTCTTCAGGCAGAGAAACTGAGGTAAGGAATTTACAATATGCCTGTCTTTCAAATTTTCTAGTATGGAAGAAAGGGAATTTCTTCGATCTATAATTCTCTACTTAATCATACAGATCTTCTGATGACACCACCCCCATTCCACTTCCTACACTTTTTATAGGTCCCTGAAATCTAGCAAAAACATTTCTTTATCCCTAAAGACTCTATGACCCAAATCCTGCTTTGTCACAATAGTTTCCTAAATGCAGTTAGTATCTCCTTCCTACCTTTACAACTCTCCATTGACCAGTGGACTGATAAAGTACAAAGCGAAAATGCCAAATACCTAGAGGACAACTTTCAATGATTCCATCAGGCCCAGAGGATTAAACCAGGAGTTTATTACCTGATGCCTGCTCCCTGCTCCACCTGGCCATCTCATATTTAGCTCTTCTTCTTTCCAATAGGCATTAAGATTTCTATTTATTTAAATTTTTATTATTTATTTATTTATTTATTTATTGTGAGACAGAGTCTTGCTCTGTCTCCAGGCACCAGGCTAGAGTGCAGTGGTGTGATCTCAGCTCACTGCAACTTACGCCTCCCGGATTCAAGCAATTCTCCTGCCTCAGCCTCCCGAGTAGCTAGGACCACAGGCCAACACACCCAGCTAATTTCTGTATTTTTTAGTAGAGATGGGGTTGCACCACGGCCTCGATCTCTTGACCTCGTCATCCGCCTGCCTCAGCCTCCCAAAGTGCTGGGATTACAGGTGTGAGCCACTGTGCCTGGCCTTAACCTTTAAGTTCAAAGGTACATGTGCAGGTTTATAATATAGGTAAACCCATGTCATTGGGGTTTATTGTACAGATTGTTTTGACACTCAGGTATTAAGCCTAGTGCTCATTAGTTAATTTTCCTGATCCTCTCCCTCCTCCCACCTTCCATCCTTTTGTTGGCCCCAGTGAGTGTTGTTCCCCTCTTGTGTTAGTTCTTGTGTTAGTTTGCTAAGAATCATGGTTTCTACCTCCATCCATGTTCCTGGAAATAACATGATCTTATTTTTGTAATGGCTGCATATTATTTCATCATACAAAAATGTATCACATTTTTTATCCAGTCTATCACTGAAGAACATTGAGGTTGATTCCATGTTTTTGCTATTGTGAATTGTGCTGCAGTGAACATATGCATGCATGTGTCTTTATTATAGAATAATTTATATTACTTTGGGTATTTGAATAGTAGTTCTTGCTGGGTCAAATCATAGGTCTGTTTTTAGCTCCTTAGGAACTGCTACACTGCTTTCCACAATGGTTGAGCTGATTTACACTCCCAGCAGCAGTGTATAAGTTCTTTCCTTTTTCTCCAAAAACTTGCAAGCATCTGTTATTTTTTAATTTTTTAATAATAGCCATTCTGACTGGTGTGAGATGGTATCACATTGTGGTTTTGATTTGCATTTTTCTAATGATCAGTAATGTTGAGCTTTTGTTCATATGCTTGTTGGCTGCATGTATGTCTTCTTTTGAGAAGTGTCAGTTCATCTCCTTTGACCATTTTTTAACAGGCTTTTTGGGATTTTTTTCTTGTAAATTTGTTGAAGTTCTTATAGATGCTGGATACTAGAACTTTGTCAGACACACTGTTTGCAAAAATTTTCTTCCATTCTGTAGCTTGTCTGTTTACTCTATTGATAGTTTCTTTTGCTGTGCAGAAGCTCTTTAGTCTAATTTGATTGCATTTGTTAATGATAAACAACTTCAGTGAAGTCTCAGGATACAAAATCAACATACAAAAATTACTAGCATTTCTATACAACAACAGTCAAACCGAGGGCCAAATCAGGAATGCAATCCCATTCACAACTGTCCAAAAAGAATAAAATACCTAGGAATACAGCTATCCAGAGAAATTAAAGACCTCTACAAGGAGAATTACAAAACAGTGCTCAAAGAAATCAGAGATGACACAAACAAATGAAAATATAGTCCATGCTCTTGGACAGGAAGAACCAGTATCATTAAAATGACCATACTGCCCAAAACAATTTATATATTCAATGCTATTCCTATTAAACTACTGCTGAGATTCTAGAAACTAGAAGCTAGAACTAGAGAAAACTATTTTAAAATTCATGTGGAACCAAATAAAAGTCCAACAGACAAGGCAATCTTAGCAAAAAGAACAAAGCTGGAGGCATCACATTACCCAACTTCAAACTATACTACAGGGCTACAGTAACCAAAACAGCATAGTATTGGTACAAAAACAGACATACAGACCAATAAAACAGAACAGATTCTAAAAATAAGGCCACATACCTACAACAATCTGATATTCAACAAAGGTGACAAAAACAAGCAATGAGGAAAAGACTCCCTATTCAATGAATGGTGCTGAAATAACTGGCTAGCCACATGCAGAAGAATGAAACTCTACACCTTTCTTTTTTTTTTTTTTTTTTTTTTTTTTTTTTTTTTTTTTTTTTTTTTTTTTTTTTTTTTTTTTTTTTTTTTTTTTTTTTGTATTTTAGGTTTTGGGGTACATATGAAGAACATGCAAAATTGTTGCATAGGAACACATGTGGCAGTGTGATTTGCTGCCTTCCTCCCCATCACCTACATCTGGCATTTCTCCCCCTGCTATCCCCCCCCAGCTCCCCACCCCCCACCGTCCCTCCCCTATTTCCCCCCAACTGACCCCAGTGTGTAGTGCTCCCCTCCCTGTGTCCATGTGCTCTCATCGTTCAACACCCGCCTATGAGTGAGAACATGCGGTGTTTGATCTTCTGCTCCTCTGTCAGTTTGCTGAGAATGATGGTTTCTAGGTTCATCCATGTCCCCACAAAGGACCCAATCTCATCGTTTTTGATGCGCAGATGCTGGAGAGGATGTGGAGAAGTAGGAACACTTTTACACTGTTGGTGGGAGTGTAAATTAGTTCAACCATTGTGGAAGACAGTGTGGCGATTCCTCAAGGACATAGAAATAGAAATTCCATTTGACCCAGCAATCCCATTACTGGGTATATATCCAAAGGATTACAAATCGTTCTACTATAAGGACACATGTACACGAATGTTCATTGCAGCACTATTTATAATAGCAAGGACCTGGAACCAACCCAAATGCCCATCGACGATAGACTGGATAGTTAAAATGTGGCACATATACACCATGGAACTCTACCCCTTTCTTAACACCAGTGTATTCTCCCTGCCTGCACTCTTGTGCCCATGTTTGGTTATCTATTCAGTAGTCTGCATGATATTTTTAAAACCTAATGCTGCCTCTATAAGCAAAACAAACAAACCAAAACAAAAACAACAACAACAAAAAAAATCAAGATATTAAAGGCTTAAGGGTAAAACCAAAAACAATAAAAACCCTGGAAGACAACCTAGGCAATACCCATTTTGAACATAGGAACAGGCAAATATTTCATCATCAAGACCCCAAAAGCATTGCAACAAAAGCAAAAATTGACACTTAGATTCTTGACTTTCAATGCAAGACAGGTTTTTAGTAACTACAATTCTTCAAGGGTGAAGATTCAGGTGCCATTGATAAATCAGTTGATATGAAGGAGATTCACAAAATGAAGATCACTATGTAAACTTGACAGATGAGGGACAAATAGTTGTAGCTGCATTTGTTTTCGTATAGCATAGAAAAGAAGACGTAGCAAAATATGCTTTGTGGTTAATGAATTTATAAGTGTATCTGCAAGACGGTTTGTTATTCCTAAGTTTAGCAACAATCCTCACTATGCCAAATTCAGGGCTTAGTTTTCATAGCTCATCTTACTAAAACAGCCTCATCTAGTTATTTACTCCTCCTTCTTTAAGCCCTTTCTTACCATGGCTCCTAGATCTGTGCACTCTCCTGATTTTCTTCCTACCTCCCTGGATATTCCTTCTCAGTCTTCATGGATGGCTCCTCTTCCTCTTACTGATCTCTAAATATGGCATTCTCTAACCTTCAAATCTGCCCCTACTACCACCAGTGGTCAACAACACCACTGTTGACCCACACCTCCACAAAAGACATCTCTTCCTCCCAGTTTCTGATATTAAAAAAAAAAAAAAACCAACTTGAATTCACCTTGACTTTTTACTTTCTCAAATCTCACACCCAATCTATCAGAAAATTCCATTGATTGAACCATTCAAACAGAGCCTGAAAAGTCCATGCTACTACCACATTTTACATGGATAAACCACATAGATACCTAATAGGTCTCCCTGCCTGTGCTCTTGTGCCCATGTTTGGTTGTCTATTCAGTGGTCTAGATGATATTTTAAAAACATAATGCTGCCTCTGTGAGCAAAATCCTTCAATGATTTTCCATCAGATTCAGAATAAATTCAAATTCCTTATCATAAACTACAAAGCCGTATATGATATTAACATGTGCTCCCTCTCTAACCTAATTCTCAGCATTCCTCCAAAGCTCACTTTGTTCTAGACTCACCGCCTGCCTGTAGTTACCATCCATTGCTACATAACAAATTATTGGAAAACTTAGTGACCAAAACAGTAAATATTGAGAATCTCTCACGGTTTCTGTGGGTGAGAAGTTTGGAAGCAGCTTAGCTGAACTGTTCGAATTCAAAATCTTTCATGAGGTTGCAGTCAAGTTGTCCACTAAGGCTGCTTTCATCTGAAGACTTGATGGGAGGTGGCATATCCACTCGTAGGGTGCCTCACTCACATGATCAGCAAGTTGATGCAAGCTGTTGGAAAAAGGCCTCAGTTATTCTCCCATAAGGACCCCTCTTCAGGACTCCTGTGTGTTCTCATGCATAGCACTGACTACTCCCAAAGTGAGTGATCTAAGAGACCTAGGCAGAATCACCAATGCCTCTTCTCACCTATTAGAGGAAGTTACGCTGTCACCTCTGCCATGCTCTATTGATCACACAGACTAATTCTGTGTCAAGATGGATGGAAAGAGACTATACAAGGGAACACACACCCTGAAGCAAGGACCACTGGGGGTCCTGTCAGAGCCCGGCTATCACACATCTTGCTGTCTTACAGACCTGTATGTGGTAGCTCATCATACTTACTGCTTGTTCCTTCTGAATGAAAAGCTCTCTCCTTCCTTGTTCCCCACTTTTATTCAGTTAATTACTTAATGTTATTTCTTCAAACTAGGCTTTTCACACCACCTTATCTAAAATAGTCTCCCTCTGTTGTTCAAAGGGTAGAAAGTTTCAGCTATACAGCAAGAACAAGTTCTGGAGATCCAATTTACATCATGGTGACTATAGTTGAAAACACTGTGTTGCATACTTGAAATTTACTGAAAGAGTAGATGTTAAATACACACACACACACACACACACACACACAAATGTAACTATGTAAGGTAATGAATATGTTAATTAGCTTGACTGTAGTAATCATTTCACAATGTGAATGTGTGTGTGTGTGTGTGTTTGTATCTATACATATAATGTATATGGGAAAGGATGAAGAGGGCACTGTCAAGACCCACAGTGGAACAGAGGTTGGTTCAGTGGGCCTGCCACTAGAGGCATGGAAGAGCGTATCCTCCAAGGGTCCCTGAGCAGGCAGAACTGCCCTTAGAACGCAACTGAGAGGGGCTGGAGCCAACAAGCCCATGTTCATTGCTTCACTATTCACAAAAGCCAAGATAAGGAATCAACCTTACTGTCCATTGACAAACAAGTAGGTAAAGTGTGGTATATACATAAAATGAAATATTATTCAACCTTAAAAAAGAAGAAAATCCTGCTGTTTGTGACAACATGGATGAACCTGGGACATTATGCAAAGTGAAATAAAGGCAGACACAGAAAGACAAATACTGTATGATCTCATGTATATGTGGATTCTAAAAAAGTTACACTCATAGAAGCAGAGAATAGAATGGTGGTTGTCAGGGAATGGGGGTGAGAAAAATGGGGAGACGTTGGTCACAGGTTACCAAGTTTTTCACTTATAACATGAGTAAGTTCTGGGTATCTAATGTACAGCATGGTGACTCCAGTTAATACTGTATTGTTTATTTGAAATATGCTAAGAGAGCAGATCTTAGGTGTCCTTCACCCTCTTCCCCCACCACATACCCACACACAATGAAAATTACATGTAGGGAAGATGTGTTAATCAATTTAATTGTGGTAATTAGTACATATTACATATGTATGTCAAACTATCATATTGTACTCCTTGAACATACATAATTTTCTTGTTTGTATAAAGTAGCTGGGAAAAGACACATTGCCTGCCTTAAATGTATATAATTTTTGTCAATTATACCTCAATAAATTTGAAAATAAATAAATAAATAATTCTCCTCATCACTATCCCATTACCTTACTTTATCATTTTTCTTAGTAGTTACTAATATGCTCCACAAAGGCAGAGTTTTAGCCTACTTTATCCATTGTTAAATCTCAAGTGTATAAAATAGTGTGCTGTACAAAGTAGATGCTCAGTAAATATCTGTTGAATGAATAGGTGAAAGAACAAAACCCACGTCTTGATACATGAAGAGATGCAGCACTTATCCAAGAAGCAGAGTACAGAGAAGTAAACTAATTCATTTCAAAAATATTTATTGAGCCTAATGAGCAAATTGCTGGATATTCAAAGAGGTCTAAAACAAAATTTCTGGCTTTTAGGGGCCCCTGGCAGAGCGAGTTTTAAATGTTAAGACTCTGAAGGTTAACAGGTTTTTAAGTTGTGTTTCATTGCCTATTGCAGTCATCATCTTTAAACACATTGCCCATCTTACAGCTGAACAGTTTGTATATCAGATGAAGAAGCCCTCTTCTAGCTACAGCAGATTGTGCTGGAGTTAGGCCTCTAACACAGAGGATACTCTCCCGTATGCCAGTGATTCAATCTGTGATTTAAGTGGCTATCACTAAACAATTAATTGAGCGAATAAGATGCTCTGGGAAGTTTGAACAAAGAGTATCAGAAGAAAATTGCAAATATATAGGGGCACTAGAATTCCAGAAACCCTCAGACTAAATTGAGATAGATTTAAGGACATGGCAAGCCAAAGGCCTGTGAGAGCTGAAGTTCTGAGGTAGAGACTGTGAGTAAAGAGAGAAATCTGGAAAAGAGAGGGGAGAAAGGAGCAACAGCATCGACAGATAAAGAGGACCCATGACATACAGAGAATGTGAGAGAGGTGGAAAGAGACAAAAAGATAGATGGTCAGAGCTAAAAGCAAACACAGAGATCAACGGACCAAAACAGGTGGACCCATTCACTCCCAGAGCTGCCCACTTCCCCGTCAGAGGCTTAGTGATGCAGTTTCCCCTGCACTCCTGAGCTCTCGAAAACGTTCAACCAAAATATCTTCTACCCTTGTCTTCCTGAACCAAGTTGAGTTATTCTTTTATTTGAGACTAGAAGCACCCTAATGAAAGCAGGCAGTTTCTAGGGGAGGAGATCTACGTATGCAGATTCCTTCAGGCATGAAATAAAACTCATGGCCCATGCTTAGCAGGTATTCATTTTTCCATGTTCCAGGATCAGTGGGGATAAACTTCCTCTGAATCATCTACCATTTTAAGCATGTCTTCTCTACCATATAGGGCACTCATGGACAGAGCAAGCTGAGATGCAGTTCAAGGCAAGAAGTAGAGTGAAATCAAGTTGGAGTTGACTCTTTCCTTCTAGACAATGGTAGGCAGTGAGTACCTTCAAGACAGCTTGGTTGGTTCCTCCCTGAATTCATTGTGCCATATGCAGATTCTGGCATTCGTGTGAGTATTCAGAAATGACTGAGCAGGTCTGCTTCATGAGGAAACCACAGCTCTAGCATATCTTCACTTCTGTGGCTGCTACTGATAATAGCAATAATCATAATCATAATTACAACACCATTTACTGAGTGCCAGCCTCTGTATTAAGCACTTTGTGTGTTTATTATCTCTCCTAACACGATTGGTTCCTTTCGTGGGTCTTCAATGACTGTAAGATTTTTGTGCCAAAATGATACTATTAGATTTATACTCTCCTTTGCAATGGCACAAATCTTCTTTTTTCCAAGAATAAAAGGCACAAGCTTCCAGTCCCTTTCTCTTCCAGGACTAGCCAGCCTTTGTGGCTTAGACATTAAAAAGTTAGGAAGCCCTGGTTCAGGGAAATGAGATTTAGGATTAGAGTGAGCAGAAGGGCCTCTCTTTAGTAAGATGATAAAATGTTCTATCTAGAACTTTAGTATGACTTTATTATGTTGTTCCAGAAAGCAACGCCAGTTAAATTCTAAATAAAGGAAGTGGTACAGGCTTATGCCCGATTTTTTCAACCCTCACTGTGCATTAGAATTACCCAGGAACTTTTAAAAGAACACACTCCTGGATTCACTAGTGCTGAACATACTTTTATAGCTTGTGACCCAGCGATTCCAATCCTAGAGAGATACTCAACAGAAAAGAAAACACTTTTGATAACCAAAAGATTGATACAAGAATGTTAGTAGAAGCATAATTTATAATAGTCAAGAATGGGAAAGATGTCCATCAACAGCAGACTGGCTAAATGAATCATAACAGATTCACATAATGAAATGTTCTACAGCAACAAGAAGGAACAAATCCCTGATATACTCCACAGTACTGATGAATTCCATAAATACATGAAGCTAGACACTGAAGCATGCGGATCGTATGACTTCATTTATATAAAGTTCAAAAACAGGCAAAGTAAAGCTCTGTTGCTTTTTTTTCTACTTTCAACTCTTTAATCATTGTCATCGATATTTTGGCCACCCCTTTGGCCCCACCCATTGGTAGTCTCAAGTAGGACCAGGATAAAGGAATAACTTTAAGGAGTATGATTCGACAATTCTGAAATCCTTTGACCCGTCATTCAGCTACTTGTGGGTATCATTTCCTAGAAATGGTGAGGAGAGAGCAGTACCTCTGGCCCAGGAGGAACAGCTTCTGCTCATTCTTGGGCTCTGAGACCCTTGTCGCTCACACCTGTAATCCCAGAACTTTGGGAGGCTGAGGTGGGCGGATCACTTGAGGTCGGGGGTTTAAGACCAGCCTGGCCAACATGACAAGAGCCCATCTCTACTAAAAATACAGCAAAAAAATTAACAAGGCATCATGGTGTAATCCCAGCTATTGGAAGACTGAGGCAGGAGAATCACTTGAACCCAAGAAGCAGAGGTTGCAGTGAGCCAGGATCGGGCCACTATACCCCAGCCTGGGCAACAGAGTGAGACTCCGTCTCAAAAATAATAATCATCATCATCATAATAATCTCTGCTGTTTAAAGTCGGGATAATGATTATCCTTGGGGAGAATGGGATGGTAGTAAGTGAAAAAGGGCACAAGAGTCCCCCAGCTTGCTTTTGGTGCTGATGATGTTGTTTCTTCAACTGTGCACTACATACATGGGTGTGTGTTCACTTTGTGACAATATGCTGTGCCACATATCATTGTGCACTTTTCTGTATGTCTGCTACAACTAATCAAAATGTTTGCTTAAAATAATACATGCTGAATCCCCACCCTCAAAGGGTGATGATTCAGGTGTTGTAAAGTAGGTGGAGACCAGATAGTGGCTATTTAAAAAATCTCCCCAGGTGATTCTAATGTCCAACCAACATAAAAACTGCTAAAGCTTTGGTAAGACAGGACTGGATTTGAGTACTGGTTCTGTCAACTGCTGTGAATGTCGCCTTACGTAACCAAGCCCATCTCTGAGATTTGGTTTCCTCATTGTAAAGAAGATA